TGGAACTAGCTCTTGTAGACCAGGCTGGTCTAGAACTCACAGAGATCCACCTGCCTCTGCCTCCCGAGTGCTGGGATTAAAGGCGTGCGCCACCACCGCCCAGATGAATTTCTCAGTAAATGAATTTGATGCCAAGACTTTCGGCCTGGGTTGGATCCCCTGGGATTCACATGGCAGAAGGAGAATCCAGACTCCCTCAAGCTATTCTCTGTCTTCCATGTGTTCACTGTGGCACTCGTACACCCACACATAGGCATATACACACACAAAATAAATAAAACCTCAATAAAAAATTTTAAAGAGGTTACAGAGGCTCTATCAGGTAATAAGGATGGAGCCTTAATCTAGCTAATAGTCTCAAAGAATAGGAAAGGGTACGAAGGATTCACCAACACAGGGGAAAAGGCTGTAAGAGAGCATAAGATGAGGCCATGCACAAGCCAACACTACCAGGCTAAGAGAATCCAGTACTGCTGACATCTTCCCAGACTGTGTAGGAAGGGCTGCTCTTTTAAAGTGTGGACGGTCTCTAGTTTGTTGGGGTTTTTTGGCCCTTGGAGGTGGCACTCCGTGTTTTGGGATATTTTGTTACGATAACTAATAACACATAATGGCAACTATCTATCAACTTTAATCTGACGTCTAAGTCTTGAATGAATGCACAGTAGCTTGTTATATTAAAAAGAGGAAACAGACTCCTGTTTAAGAATTACATCAGTTATGCAATTTCTTTTTAAATAGGCTTACATGTGGAGAAATGACAACTTGGTATTCTGTACACTGTACACTGAATTGAACCCTTTCTCTTTGAACAGTTTTCCAAGTTAGTTCATCTCTAAATCGGTATCTAGATCCAAACAACATTGCACTAAGACAATATAGACTTGATAAAAATCTCACCAAAAAAAAAAGCTCTACCAATTAACCTACCAGTTTTCAGAAGCAAAATCACAATGAAACTTCATTTTTTTTCTGTTTAATCTTGCTATTTATTTACATTTTCTAAGACAGTCTCAGTATGTAGCCCTGGCTGACCTTTGAACTCCAGAGATCCACATGTCTCTGACCCCCGAGTGTCAGGATTAATGGCATGTACTACCATGCCTGTCTGGCACACTCTCTGTGGAATGAGTCCCCAGATCCTGGGCACATGGGCCAGTGTTGCCACTCCCAAGAAAGCTCTTGCAGAGCTGAGACTGTGGTGGACATGCCTCCCCGGCCTCCCTGTTTCTGCTTCACCTGTAGGAGTCTGGCAAAGCCCTTTGAAGCAATAACCAGGGAGCGTTTTCCTCCTCGTATCCCACAGACCTGGTGCAGTGCTACACTGTAGGAACTTGCACTAACTATCAAGCAAAACCCAACTCACCTCCCTGGCGAACTTTTCCTCAGTTCTTTCAAAGAGCATTCAGGGTAAAGGCGGGTTTTTTATTTTTGCTTTTAGCCTCAAAACCACTCTACCTTCAATCTAGAACTTCCTAATCTTTCTTCCTACTGTTGCATCCTCATTAGGTGGGTATTTGAGAATTCACATTGGGTCAGACCAGTTGGGGTGGGGGTCGGGGTGTTGCATCTCAAAGCAGGAAGAACGCTTTGTCATGGCTGTGTCTGGACACATCAGGCATGCTTGTATCCTACCAATTAGTCATCCGGCTAAATAAAACCTGCTTACAAACGTGAGCCCTACATAAACCTACAATTAGTAATACTCAAAATTCAGCTTGTTACAGCCATTACTTTTCACTAAGGGCTCTCAGAACCTGGTCTGAATTTTGCAGCTCAGCCTTCTCCCAGGAGCTGAGTAGTAGTAGGTGGCACAAATCCGAGGGCGTTTCCCTGGCAACGATCGCTGCCCTGGTCCCTCTGCTCCACCCCTCCCTGCTTCTCGCGAGAGGAGAAGGCCCGGGCCTTCCGGTAAACTGTAGTTTCCCTAGCCCGCCGCCGCCTCCGGCTGGGCTTCGCGCATGTGCAGTGGGGGGTGGCGCGAGTCCGCGGCTTCCGGCTGGAGACGATGGTGCGTTTGGGGGGTTGTCTCCTCTGTGCTCCCTGGACGTGCGGTCCACGCGGTCCCCCGGAGTTCCACGCCTGGAGCTGTGCCCAGGCTTCAGCCAGGGGAGGATGTGGCCGGAAGGCCTGCCACTCGTAGTGGAAGGGAAGAGAGACTCAAGGAGGATGGCTAAAGTTTGTTGTGAGGTAGCCAGGGAGGGAAGCTCTCCGACGGGAGTTGTGGCGCGGGGCTGGATGGCGGGAAGCTCAGTGCTGTGCTCTGTGGATCCGACTCCCGGGGGCTGCCTGTCAGCCAGCGCAGAGCCGAGCCCCGCACGACAGAGGAGACCCAGCCCCAGTGCACCCCCCAAGTGAATGCACGTGTTCCCTGCCCTCCTCTCCTCACACCGAGCCCCCGTCCTCCTCCTCGTCCTCAGCAAAGCCCTAAACGTCCCTCGCCACCAGGAGATCCCCGGTCCGCTCACTCCCAGGCCAGGGTTAGACTACCACAGGAGTGACAAAGTTGGTGTACACACTGTGTCTCTTCATCTAGACCCAGCAACACACTCGAGACAAGAGACAGAACGTGAATTCTTTGCAGACTTAATAACACACCATTACTTTATACATTATCAGGACCACAAGACATTATCATTTATCGGAATTACTGACCAAAGAATCATTTAAGGGTTCCCTTTTCATAGACTAACATTACAGTGTGTGTGTGGAGCGGGCGGGAAAGCTGGGAAGAAATGTTAGGTAAGAGGAAAAGGCTGTGGAGTTGTTACAACAGACACTTTTGATTTCTTTTGATTAATTCCAGGCTGTTTTGTTTTGCTTTTGAATAGATGCAAGAAGTAAGCCCCAGTGCGTCTCTTATTGACAGAACCATCAAGATGAGAAAAGAAACAGAAACTAGGAAAGTGGTTTTAGCCTGGGGACTCCTAAATGTATCCATGGCTGGAATGATATATACTGAAATGTAAGTTAGTCAGCCCGAGAGTGGAATTTTAAACCATCATTGGCTGGTTCTATCTATGGCTTTTCATATTTCTTTTGGTTTTTCATTGTTTGGTTTGTGATGGAGTTGGGGGTGTTTTGTTTTTAAATAACTGAAAAGTATTTCTAATCGTTTCAGGACTGGAAAGTTAATTAGTACATATTATAATGTGACATACTGGCCTCTGTGGTATATTGGTAAGTAGTTAATTTTCATTGGAATTTAGATTTACTACAAATGAAAACTTGCTTATAGTTTTAATTCGGCTTAGTATTCACTCTTTTTATGCCGACTCTTTTCCCCAAAATGATGGAAACTGCAGAGAAGGAACTAGGAAAGCCCCTTTTGTGGAAAGAACTTTCTAGTTGGAGGCAGAATCAGGAGGATAACTTCAAGTTTCAGACCAGTCTGGGATAAATAGCAGAGCCCTGTCTCAAAACAAAACGGAAGCCAGGAATGGCAATGAACAGCTAATCCCAGTACTTGGGAGATAGAAAGAGAAGAATCAGAAGCTGGAGGCCAACCTAGTACAGGAGACCTTGTCTCTAGAGAAGTAAACAAAGCTAATAAAATATACAGAGTCATAAGAAGGAAAATAAAGCATCTGCCAGTCCCCAAATATCCTCTCCCAATTCCTCACCTTCAAGACCAGTCCACATTAATCCTTAGTGTATAAAGAGTCCTGGGGATGTTAAAGTAAATTTGTAGTCTATGAATTGAAATCTATTGTGGAGAGCCAGCATTGGTGCCCCTTACCTTTAATCCCAGCACTCTGGAGGCACAGGCTGGTGGATCTCTGTGTGTTCAAGGCCAGCTTGGTCTACAGAGTTGAGTTCCTGTAGAACCAGTGCTATACAAAGAAACTATTTTGGAAAAACAAATGAAAAAGAAAGAAATCTTTCATGGAGCGTTGTAGATTATTTTAAGATACACTGTGACGCCGTGTTTCTGTGCCTGTCTGAAACACCTGATTGGTCTGATAGAGAGCTGAATGGCCAATAGCAAGTCTGGAGAGAGAAATAGGGCTGACAGGCAGAGGGAATAAGTAGAAGATTAGAGGAAGAAGCAAGAGAGATTAAGGAGCAAGAAAAGAAGGGGCCAGCCACCCAACAGCACAGCTAGCCATGGAGTAAGATTGAAAGAAAAGGTATACAGAAATAGAGAAAGACAAAAGCCAGAAGCAAAAAGATTCAATAATTTGTTAACAAAAGCTGGCAAGAAACAAGCCAAGCTAAGGCTGGGCATTCATAAGTAATAATAAGCCTCTGTGGGTGGGTGGGGGAGGGGGTATTTCTTTGGCAGCTGGGTGGCAGACCACCCAAAAGAGTAAGAGTAAAACATAACCACCAGCTATGGAGGAATAGAGAAATGACTCAGGTTAAGAGCACACACTGCTTTTGCAGAGGACCAAGTTTTGTACCTGGTAGAGTAGTGACTCACAACACCCTCTTCGGGCATCTGCCTGTACCAGGCAAGCACCTGATACACATATATGCCTATAGGCAGAACACTCACACATAAAATAACTTGAAACATCTTTTGTTAATCCATCAGAGTGGGTGTAGCAGATGGAAAAGGAAGGGATTCCAGATCATCAGGTCTATGGTAGAGTCATGGCTCACTGTAGGCTGGGACTCCTAAAACTCACTTGTCTATTAAAATGAATGTGAAAATATCTATTGTACAGGTTTGCTTGTAATTAGTTTAAAACTCACTAGCAAGTGCCCTGCACTTACTAGACTTTGATCGAGAGGTATCTGTTGTGAGGAATAAGAAACTAGGTTTTTTTTGGTGGGGGGGGGCGATGTTTGGTTTGTTTTTGTTTTGGTTTTTTGGTTTTTTGAGACAGGGTTTCTCTGTATTGCTTTGGAGCCTATCCTGGCACTCACTCTGTAGACCGGGCTGGCCTCAAACTCACAGAGATCTACCTGCCTCTGCCTACTGAGTGCTGGGATCAAAGGCATGTGCCACTAACGCCTGGCTAAGAAACTAGTTTTTAATTTTTGATGTTAATTTGCTAAGAATATGAAGGGATTTGTATTCCCCAACCAGGTGGCTGAAAATGGAATCAAGACCTTTCTGCTTTTTACAAATAATAGGTTGGGCCACCTTGAATCTCTGCACTCTGGAGGCGGAAGCAGGTGGATCTTTGAGTTCTGGGCCAGCCTGGTCTACAGAGTGAGTTCCAGACAGTTTGGACTACACACACAGAAACCTTGTTTTGAAAAACCCAAAATTAATCAATCAATTAATTAGTTAATTAATTGGAGCTGGAGAGGTGACTTATGGAGTATAGTAACTTCTACCAGGCATTATGACCTGAGTTTAATTTCCTAGAACCAATATGGTGAAAGAAAAGAACCAACTTCTACAGTTGTCCTCTGACCTCCACATGCCCCACACTCAAATAAATAAGTATAAAGAATATTTTTAATAATAGTAGTAATAATAGTTGTTGTTTTCTTCCAGAACTTGCCCTGGCATCTCTCTTCAGTCTTAATGCCTTATTTGATTTTTGGAGATACTTCAAATATACGGTAGCACCAACAAGTCTGGTGGTTAGCCCCGGACAGCAGGCACTGTTAGGGCTGAAGACGGCTGGTAAGTGAGGCATGGGAGAAGGCAGTGGTCCTTTTTCAGGGTTTTCCCTTTTCATAGACTCTGAGCTAGCCGGCTAGTAAGCAACCGCTAGGAAACTGTCACGTGATTGTCACTGTTATTTGTATGAATTGAGTGGAAAATCAACTTCATGGAAATATGCTTTACTGTTATGAACACTGTGGCAATGCTAAGCAACTGATTAGTTGTATTTGTGAAATAACACTTCATGTAATTTAACAGCCAGATCCTTCAGTCACTTTATTTTGATGTCTCTCCATGGCCCTGGCTGTCCAGGCTGATCCGGCCTTAAATTCAGAGATTCACCGGCCTCTGCCTCACAAGTGTTGGGATTAAAAGTATGCACTACCACACCCAGCCCTGAAATCTGTTTCCATAAGGTTATTTATACTCCAGAGAGTAAGGCAGGAAGAGCTTACGGCCAAGACTAGCCTGAATTACATAGCAAGACCTAATTTTTAAACTTTTTTGTTTTAATTTAAACATATTGTATGTGTGTGTAATTTACGTTCTTTTCCTTCTAGTTGTGCAGACTACACCTCCCCGGGATCTGGCAGCCACCCAAGTCCCTCCCTCTCCACCTTCCCCTTCCATTCAGGGTCAGAGTGTGCTAAGTTATAGCCCATCTCGTTCACCGAGTCCCAGTCCCAAGTTTGCTGCCAGCTGTATGACTGGGTACAGCCCTCAGCTGCAAGGTCTGTCCTCAGGCGGCAGTGGCTCATACAGCCCTGCAGTGACCTACTCTCCAGTCAGTGGTTATAATAAGGTAATGACTCCTTTTGTTTGGACAGTAATACTATGTTAGAATTGGGAGTTGCACTAAAATCACCCAGTGAATCAAAGCTTTGCATTTACTTGGTATGGAAACTGAGGAACAGTGGTTATCTGAATCACCCATTAAGAGCCGAGAACAGAAACCAAGTTTCCTGTCACACAGTCTAAAGCTCTTAGCTCATGAGCATTTTTTTTTCTAAATTTAATTTATTTATTTATTATGTATACAACATTCTGCTTCCATATATATATGCACACCAGAAGAGGGCACCAAATCTCATAATGGATGGTTGTAAGCTAACATGTGGTTGCTGGGAATTGAACTCAGGACCTCTGGAGGAGCAGTCGGTGCTCTTAACCACTAAGCCATCTCTCCAGCCCCCTCATGAGCGTTTTTGAAGATGATAAAGCCTAACAGTCACCAGCCAGTCTTGAAATAATTTGAAACTTTGGTTTCTCTTATGGCATGTTTTTCCCTTTTTTTGTTTGTTTTTGTTTTGTTTTTTGAGACAATGTTTCTCTATATTGCTTTGGAGACTGTCCTGGCACTCACTCTGTAGACCAGGCTGGTCTTGAACTCACAGAGATCCACCTGTCTCTGCCTCCCGAGTGCTGGGGATCCAAGGCGTGTACCACCACTGCCCGGCATCCCTTTTAAACTTTTTTGTGTGAGGGCTTTGCTTTTCTCTTGTAGAATTTAACACTTTGTAATATGCCTGGTCCTCTTAGCTAAAACCAGGGGTCTTCATGTGGTTTGGTTCTGGAATATGGATGCTTGCTGTGTCATGGGTAGAAATCTCTAAATTCCTTAGTAACGTCAGCCCTGGTCTAATTTTTTAGGGTATTACTAGAAATTTGTGGGTTGAAATTCAAATTGTAAGGCATGAGGCTGCAAGAAAGGCATCAAAAGAGAAGCCGTCTATCAGAAGCTCTGACTGTCATGTTGGCCTAACGTCCAGCTACTGGTTAAAAGCAGATTGCCTAGAAGAAAGCAGCCATCTGTCTGCCTGTTTGCATAGCGTTGCTTTGAAATAGAATTCTGTGCTACTAGTTATCCAGTATTAGGTGATAGAATTTTTAAAATCTTTGTACAAGTTAAATACTATGAGAAATGTATAGTTATAATTCATAAAGTTCCAGTTAGTATGGCTTTTTAAGTTTTTTTATTTTTATGTGCACATTTGTCAGCGTGAGAGTATCAGATTCCCTGGAACTGAAGGTATAGACAGTCATTAGCTGCCATGTGGGTACTGGGAATTGAACCCAGGTCCTCTGGAAGAGCAGCAAGTGCTCTTAACCAGTGAGCCAACTCTCCAGCTCCAGATGTTTTTTAAAGAGAAAAATAATAGGCTTTTTTTTTTTTTTTGGTTTTTTCGAGTCAGAGTTTCTCTGTGGCTTTGGGGGCTGTCCTGGAACTAGCTCTTGTAGACCAGGCTGGTCTTGAACTTCCAGAGATCTGCCTTCCAAGTGCTGGGATTAAAGGCGTGCACCACCATAGCCCGGCTTATTTAAAAATTTTTATACAATATATTTTGATCATATTCTTTCCCCTCCTAAGTATGGCTTTTTTTAATGTAGTTATTTATTTTTATTTTTGAGGGTTTCTCTGTAGATCAGGCTGTCCTGGAACTAGCACTGTAGACCAGGCTGGCCTGGAAAGTTTCTAGGCCAGGGAGATGGCTCTGGAGTACAGTGCTTGTGCTGCAAATACAATGCCCTGAGTTCAGTCTCTGTAACCCACACAAGAAGCCAGGTTGCAGTGGTGCACATTTGTTATCCCAGGACTCCTCTGTCAGGGGTAGGAGACAGAGACAGGAGAATGAGCCAGAAGCTGACTTAGGCAGAACAGGAATAAACCCTGCCTCAGAACAAGGTTACGAAGGGAACCAGCCCACAGAAGTCGTCCCCTAATTTCCTAACCTAACGCGTGCTTTGGTGCCTGTACCCACATTCATACATAATAAATAAATCCAAAAAGAGAGGAATTCCTATACATGAAGTAAACATTTTAAAGTAGTGATATTGATGAAAATATACTAAAATAGATAGATCCCCTTCCCTTTTCTGAGAGGAATATGACTTACAGTAACACTTTTACTTAATAGATGCAAGTAAATGTTTGAAAGGTTTATGTGCTTTGGCCAAACAATTTCAGTTTGCAGGGTCTGCCCTAAAGAAAGCAATAAATGACTGGCAAGTGGGCTCAGCAGATAAAGGTGTTTGCTACCAAGCCTAAGGAATTGAGTTTGATCCCCAGCATCCATGTGGAACGACAGAAGTAACTCCAAAAGACTGTCCTCTGCCCTATGGCACACACATGAGCGTCAAAATCAGACACACACACGAACACATCCTACACACATATGTAATAAGAATCTTAAGTTACCACAAATTGAAACTAGGATTTACACGCAGTGACATTCATAACGTTAGTTATAGCAGCCAAAAACTTGAAGAAATCCAAATGCACATAATAAGAGAATGTAAAACAATTTTTTGGTTTCTCAAGACAGGTTTCTCTGTGTAGCTTTGGAGCCTATCGTGGCACTCATTCTGGAGACTAGGCTGGCCTCGAACTCACAGAGATCTGCCTGCCTTTGCCTCCTGAGTGCTGGGATTAAAGGCGTGCACCACCAACGCTCGGCAAGAATGTAAAACAATTTTTAAAAATTTCTTTTATAAAATCTCCATGTGTTTCCCAGTCAGGAGACCTTGCACTTACGAGGCTCCTGTCTCAGCCGTCCATCTAGCACAATTGTGATTACAGACTGTGTTACAGCTTTTTCTTTGTTGAGATATAGGCAGTCTTGTGTAGTTCAGGCTAGAATCAGTCTCACAGGGTAGCTGAGGCTGATGAACCTTGAATTCCTATCGTCATGCCACCATCTTTCAAATACTGGTATTATATGCAACCACAGGTTTTTCTAAATGTATTTTAAGACTAAAAAATTACTCAATAATTTTTTTTGTATTAATGTGGCTCATACTCAGGTTGTCAGGCTTGTATGGCAAGCACCTTTACCTGCTAAGCTGTCTTCCTGGCTTATGTTTTGATTTTGTTTTGTTTTTTAACTGTTGTTTAGATAGAGCCTCATGCAGCCAGGCTGGCCTCAAATTGCCCATGTAGCAGAGGCTGGTCTTGAACTCAGTCCTCTTGACTTCCATCTTCTTCTGTGTGCTGGGATTTCAGAGGTAGCTTGCATGTTTTACTTTTAAAAGTCAGAAATAAATGTTTGCATTTCAGTGGAAAGTAAATCCCATCCTTTCCTTTTGTGTAGCTGGCAAGCTTTAGTCTGTCTCCTCCTTCTCCCTACCCTACCACTGTTGGCCCAGTGGAGAGCAGTGGATTGAGATCTCGCTACCGTTCTTCACCCACGGTCTATAACTCACCTACTGACAAAGAAGACTACATGACAGACCTTCGGACTTTGGACACTTTCCTTAGAAGTGAGGAGGAGAAACAGCATAGAGTTAAGCTGGGTATGCCTATTTTGTTTATATATGATATACATATTTTTGTTACCACTTTGCATAATCCTTAGACTAATAGTAGGTTAACTGCTAAATTTAGGAGGTAAAACACAGCTGACCTGAGCAATCTTGAATCTTTCCCCGTGGTAAATTTAAAAGCCTTTCACACAAGCTAGAATTTCCCTAAACCGTGGCTGTGCGTGTTTGCAGCAGTGTGTAGCAAAGCTTGTTCAACTACTAGTCTTTTTGGGAAACTGATGTGCAGGGCAGGATTGGCGGGGGTGTGGGGGTCTGACACAGGACTAAAAGCACTAATGGGGTTTGTTTTTGTTTTGTTTGGTTTTTTGGTAACATTTAAAAAATTGTCTCTTAATAATTCCTTAAAGCCTATAGTTTACCTAGGGAAACAAGGTTAGCAAGTCTTATTCTATTTGAGGTGGATTTGATTATTACATAGTGAAGAAGCCAAGTTATTGGAGCATGGCTCTTTGTGTTGCTTGAAATCTCTCTGGGGATTTTTAATTTAATTCTGCCTGCAAGTGCCACAAATGTCAAAGAAACAAATCAATATTATCTTGTTACTTTCTTCTTTTTTGAAATTTTGAAATATTTGAAGTGTACTGAAAATTATAGAGTATAGCACAAAAAACAATTGATACAAAGCTTTTATGATTTTCAGATATTTTTCATTTCTTTTTTATTTTTTCTTTCACATTTAGAAGTATTGTTATCGATGTTTGTAAGTGTTATTGCTGTTGCTTTTCATTGTCAAGCCAGACAAGACCTAGTTATCTTTATTTCCTCCTAAGTTAATTGTGCTTCGGTTAGAGATTCTGATCCATATCTATTAACGCTTGGGGTTTCTCTTCTTTCTCTGTGTAGGGAAGGTTTTTTAATCTTAGACTTGCTTGGAGGCTCTCTGGTCACTTTTGTGTAAATGGTTCTGACACATTGAAAAGAACATGTACTCTAAATTCTGGTCTCTATCTCTTTGCCTGATGTGACTTTGTCTATTTCTGTACTTTTAACCACTCTGCTATATTCTTAGGCTTTAGGTAATTTAAATATTCTGCATAAATTAATAAGTTTTTTTGCAAACCTACTTGCTCTCAGGCTGTGGAAATACCCTGTTATAAATTTTAATGCTACTTTTAACATTGGTTTAAAATTATTTTCAAAATTATTGCTGTGTTCTCATGAGGGTTTTTATGTCTGTGTTTTTGAGACAGTCATGCAGACTGGCTTGGAATTCATTGTGTCATCTAGGCAATCTTCAAACGTAGTTTCCTGACTTGGTCCCCCCGGAGTGCTGAGCCATAGGACTGACTTTTTTTATTTTTTTTTCTTCAAGACAGGGTTTCTCTGTAGCTTTTGGAGGCTGTCCTGGAACTCTCTCAATGGACTAGGCTGGCCTCGAACTCACAGAGATCCACCTGCCTCTCCCTCCTGGGAGTAAGGGTGTGTGCTGCCAGCACCACCCTGCTTTGAATGGGACTTTGTAATTGTGTCATGCCTTTCTATTTTCCCCCGTACATTTTGTGTACATAACCTCAGGTATCCCTTTGCTGGGTGCTGTTCACTTTGTGGTTTTTGATATGGGATCTCTCATTGGCCTGAAACTTGGCAGTTAAATTAAGCTGACTTGCCAGCTGCCCCAAGGATTCACTTACCTCAGCTTCCTCAGTACCGGCTGACATCAGTGGACCATAATGCCTGACTTTTTTCTCTTTTTAAGATTTATTTTTGGCTGGGTCTGATGGCACATTCCTTTAATTTCATCTCTCCAGTGATAGAGGCAGGCGGAGCTGTGAGTTACAGACTAGTCTGATCTACATAGTGAGTCCAGGACAGTTGGTAGGGCTACAGAGTGAGATCTGGTCTCAAAAAAAGGAAAAGAAATGGCTTCTGTATTCTTGATGTCTTTCTTTGAACATTGTCTTACCCACCTGTACCCCATCTTTCCTGTCTTTGGGTGTCTTCTTTCCCCCTCACTCTGTAGGTCCACAAAATAATATAGATTCATGCTGTACTCTCCCTGGCTGGCTCTGGAGTCCTTCTGGTTTTCCTAAGACTGTAAGACTGGGTTCTTTGAGCGGAGAATGGTATTTGAAGTTAATATCTGAGCATTGGGCATGCTGTTGTTACTTAGGTAGCATATTTTAGGTTCTTATACAGCTAACACATAGTTCATAATAGATAATTCCAATTCCATATTCACAACTCAATTCTCCAGGAGTGAGAAGCTAAGCAAACATTCACACATTCACATTTTTCTCCCTTGTACATGCCTGAAGGTTTTTGCTGAGTCATTTAAAACAAGTTGTAGACTCTGTGACACTTCATCCCTCAATGTCCTGAGAACAGGACATTTCCCCTTATAACTTCAAAATTAATTAATTTCTTTTGATACCACTGTAACTCAGACACATTAATACAGTTGACTCAGTGATGACCTCTTTCCAAAAAAAAAAAAATTCCCTTTTTCTTTTACTAACGCAAGCCACTCCATATAGTTGCACTTCCTTTGCCTTCTTTAACTTAGAAGGTGTGCACATGTGTATCTTTATGACGTATTTTAAAGACATCGGGCTATTGTGAAAATTAGGTTTTGTCCAGTTGTTTTGTAAACATTAGCGTCAGGTGTTTCTGGTAGAGCACAGCTTAGTGGCATGTCTCTGTATTAGATTAGGAGGTGCATGATACATTGGTAGTCTCTGGTGATAGAAAATTTCATCACTTGGTCATGATGATTGCAAGCAGGTTCCTTCATAGATGTTTTCCTTTGATTTCTTGCTTCCAGCCACCCTTCCTGCAGTGATCCGACAGAGAGCTTGCCCAAATGGATTAATACAAAGATGGTTGTAAGCCCAGCAGTGGTGGTGGTGGTGGTGGCGTTGGTGGCCCACGCCTTTAGTCCTAGCACTGGGGAGGCTGAGGCAGGCGGATCTCTGTGAGTTCGAGGCCATCCTGCCTGGTCTACAGAGTAAGTTCCAGGACAGCCAGGGCTACACAGAAAAACCCTGTATCGAAAACAAAGCAAAACAAAAAGATGGTTGCAAATGGAGACTCCTCTTGGGTTCCTTCCACATTTAGAGATCTGGCATTTTTCTATTTAAAAAAAAAAAAAATGCCTTTTATCTCTTAGCCCAGTTGTTTTTAGTTACTTTGGACACAAAGCTTAGCTTTTCTCAAATATGCTTAACTTTTAAGAGTATCTTGTTTTAGTCTTTAATTTCAGTTCTTTTGTTTGTTTGTTTGTTTTTTTGTTTTTTTGTTGTTGTTGTTGTTGTTGTTGTTGGTTTTTTTTTTGTTTTTTTGTTTTTTTGTTGTTGTTGTTGTTGTTGTTGTTGGTTTTTTGTTTTGTTTTTTGTTTTTGAGACAGGGTTTCTCAGTAGCTATGGAACCAATGCTGAAACTGGCTTTGTAGACCAGGCTGGCCTCAAACTCACAGAGATCCGACTGCCTCTGCCTCCTGAGTCCTGGGACTAAAGGTGTGTACCACTGCCATGCCCAGCTGCTTCGGTGATGTTGAGCCTACGTTTTCAAAGTTGATCCAATAGTTCAAGTATGTGAAATTCTTGGAGAATGAATACCTACACTTTTGCAGTTGAATTTTTTTGCTTGGGGTCTCATTTGCTGGTAATTTGTATGATTTCTGTTGTTTACATTTCAGCTTTAGCAGAGTTTTGTGTATTCTGGGCAGGCTGGATGGAAACCTTGTCTCAGACTCTGAAAGAATAAGCCCTTCATAAGCACACTCATTACTGAGGACTCGTTTGTTCAGCTGTGCTACATGCTGGTAGAAGAGAATTCATCCCTGCCCTAAAGAACTCAGCTTTCCTTGGGGAATGCAGACTGACCGATCCTCAAGTACAATGAGGACTTCAAATAGAGGCACTGTTTCCTAGATGTCAGTTTCTTTTATTCCACAGATAGTTTTAATCAACACAGGAATTACTACAGGGTAACAAGGTACCACGTGAAACACAATTTGTAGAGCCTGTAGTTCAAAAAGGCTTTTTAACAGAGTGCTGCTGTTAACTCCATTCAAAGGAACTCCAAACATTTGTCCCCCCATCAGTAAATGTCTTCGAGAATAACACAAGCTTAATCTTACAACAGAAAGAGACAGACACGTCCAACCATTCATAATTCTTAGGCCTCTTTAAGTTGGTAATGCTCAGAAATGTTCTCTTTAATTTCTAACCAGTGGCTCTCTTGCTCTTTCTGCTCTTTCCACACTCTTTCCGGCTCTTCTCTCTCTCCGCTCTCCTCTCTTTCTGCTCCTGTCTCCCTCTTCTGTCCTCCCTCCTGTTTCTAATAAAACTTCTCACTTAAAAAAAAAAAATTCTAACCAGTGGTCTCCAAAAAGAAGACGATGTTGGGGACCAGGGTTGAAGTTTCTGGAGTTTATCGTCTGACTCCTTGAGTGCCGTCAGGGGAGTGTCTGTCTTCTGGTTCCTTGAGTGTTGTCAGAGGTTGTTTAGTTCCTAGATACCCAGAGTCTTCTGAGTGAAAGTACATAAAAAATTACTATGAGAGCTAAAACTTTCCCATTTTAATTGTAGGGAGCCCAGATTCCACGTCTCCTTCCACCAGCCCTACCTTCTGGAATTACAGTCGTTCTGTGGGGGACTATGCACAAACATTAAAGAAGTTTCAGTATCAGCTTGCCTGTAGGTCTCAGGCCCCGTGTGCGAACAAAGATGAAGCTGATCTCAGTTCTAAGCAAGCTGCAGAAGAGGTAAAGGGTTTCAGATTGCTAGAAAATATTATCTCTAGAAAACTTTTCCTAAGATCTTTACTTTTACTGGTTAGAAATATAAATTTGACATTCATTTGTGGAATACCTTTTGTCATTGAAATTTTTACAGATTATGATAAAAAGTTGACTAAAATGCCCTTCCTAAAATACCTTTCTACAGTCATTAGCAAAAGGGTTCTCAAAGGCTGGGTATGTAACTCAGTGGTAGAGGACCTGCTTACATAGCATGCATAAGGCACTGACTGATCCCTAGAAGTGCACCAAAATAAAAAATAAAAATAAATTCTCAGGGCTGGAGAGATGACTCAGCAGTTAAGAGCACTGGCTGCTTTTCCAGAGGACCAGGGTTCAATTCCCAGCACCCACATGGCAGCTCACAACTGTTTATAACTCTAGTTCCAGAGGATTTGACATCCTCACACAGACATACATGCAGGCAAAATACCAATGTACATAAAATAAAAGTAAATAGTTAAAAAAAAAAATTCTTAATGTGCCAGACTGTTGCTTTTAAAATACCTATTTGCCAGTCTGTTCTTTATCCATTCAATATCAGATACGGGGTTTTATATTTTTATCTCGTACTTGAAAGCAAAACACACACATAGTCTAACCCTACCAGGAACTTTTAAAGATATATTTGTGCATGAACAACAATCCTGAGTTAGTAATAAGAAAATTACTAAATGCTGTTTAAATGAATATTAGTGTTTCTGAAGGGTTCTTTTTTTTTAAACAGGTATGGGCAAGAGTGACTATGAATAGACAGCTTCTTGATCACATGGATTCATGGACAGCCAAGTTTAGAAATGTAAGCTGTGGGCTGGAGAGATGGCTCGGTGGTTAAGAGCACTGGCTGCTCTTCCAAAGGACCCAGGTTCAGTTCTCAGCACCGCATGGTTTCTTATACCTCCTATAACTCTGGTTCCTGCATATCTGATGCCCTCTTTTGACCTCCACAGGTACCAGCACACACACATATGTGCTGGTAAACATACATACATACATGCATACATACACCCATATAAAATTAAAATAAGTCAACTAATAAATAAATAAAAGAAAGAAAGAAATGAGGTGGCAAAAAAAATTAAAATAAGTCATAAAAAAAGAAATGTAAGTTGTGTCTTATGCCAGTTGTTGGACAATATCAGACTATGGACTGAGGTTATTTGTGAGAATGTTAGAATTAAATATTAAATTAATGGTGTCTATATGGGGGTAGAGCAGACAGTTACCTTATAGCATCTGTTTTCTTGGAAGTATGTGTTCCTATCCATGTTTAATCAGTGTAGTTAGAGAAAAAAGGAACAGTATATTTTTAAGTTCTTCCCTTTCCCAAATTTTCAGTTTTATTTCCCAAAAAGATTTTGTGTCGTATATTGTATACCTAGAATTGTAGGAAGACAAGAAGGTGACCCTCAGAGAACACTCGTATGCTTGACACTATTTAGAATATACACGCAATTTCCTCATCTCCCTAGACAAAAGTCCCCATACTGCTTACATCGGCTCTTCCACCCAGAGATGGTAGCTTCTCCGGTTGTGTGACAGACTGACTCCCCACTCCATGGCTTAGAAAAACTTTGTTTCATTATTATGCTTTAAGAAAGGTACCAAGAGGGAGAAGTAATTAGCCTGGTGTGGTGACACATGCCTGTAATACATACTAAGGAGCCTGAGGCAAGAGTGTGAGAGTTCAAGTCTAGCGTGGCTGTATCGGAGGCCATTATTTCAAGAAAAAGAGAGAGAGAGAGAGAGAGAGAGAGAGAGAGAGAGAGAAGAAAAAATAATACAGTATTTTGAGTCCAGTACCATCATTCTCAGAATTTCTGGGGATGAGACCTGTGTCTCTAACTGGGCAGTTTGGCTATTAAAAAGGAAAAGTAAATGACAAGGCGCCCTTGCAACTGTACATTGTTATACTTACAGTTATAAGGAAGACTGAAATTTTATTTAAATGTGTTTTATTTAAAATAAAACGACTTGTTGGGTATTTTAGCTCTGAACGGGGTTTCAGGAGCTAGAGAGATGGGTTAGCAGCTGTGAGCATGTGTGCTCTTGAAGAATACCTGAGTCTGGTTCCCAGAACCCATGTCAGGCAGCACACAGTCACCTGCAGATGAGGGGGAGCCAGCACCTGTGGCTCATGCAAACACCTCTGCTCACATGCACGCATGTGTGTGCACATACATGCACACGCACAATAAAGGAATTGTGAATTAGTAATTTCATCTGCAACGTTTTCATCCTTTTATAGTTAAACAAAGCTTAGGAACAGAAGTAGTGGTCAGGGTCACTGCAAACACAGAGAGCAGTAACACACAAACATACCATACAGAGATTCCCTTTGTACAACCTTTTCACACCCCAAAATTAGCTTGATACTAGCCATGGAAAGGGGGAATTTGAAATCACCAGTCTTTAAAGGTAATACTGTAATATTTACAAACTGGCTCTAAATATAATAAATTTGTTTGTCTGCAGCTAGGGCATGGGCAGGCCTGTAATGAGTTCATCAGTTACCTTAGTTTGAAAACTGTTTTAGTGACTATAAACCAGTATAAATGATATGGTAATATGTAATTACCTCTACAACTGTAGACTGATGGTTATGTTTCCTTTCATCCAAGAATAACAATCAGAAAGTGTTTTGTTTTGGAGGCAGGTTTTACAATGTCGCTCTGGCTGATGTGGTACTTGATATATAAGCCAGCTGGCCCCAAACTTTCGGCAATCCTCCTGCCTGACCATCAAGTACTCAGATTACAGGCATGAGCCACTCACTGTGTCTGTCTTGAAAACAGAAATGTAGGAAAGAATATTTAGCTGAAAGTTTAACATTTTCTGAAATAAAGGCGTATGTGACTTAAGGATGTAACTTGATCTGTGTGGGGTAGCATGCCTGCTCTCTCAGCATCATGTGGTGCCACGTGCGTTCTCCTTCACTGTGTTTTCACGAGTCTGTTCATCAAGTGGAAGACGGAAAGTTGCCTGAGAAAATAATGATTGGAGAAATACTTTGGAATGATAACTACAGAAGCTATTGTTCGTTCCTTCCTAGTGGATCAATGAGACAATATTAGTGCCACTTGTGCAAGAGATTGAGTCTGTCAGCACTCAGATGAGACGAATGGGCTGTCCAGAGCTACAGATAGGAGGTATGTGAGGCTGTAAATCAGTTAAGTGGAAAACATCTTCTTGTAATGGGCTGTTGAACATCTTTTCTTGTCTTCCGGTGAAGAAGAAAATGTTTTTAATTGTTTTTTAAATGTAGTGGTTTTATTTGAGGTATACTTACCTACTGTACAATCTGCCTGTAGAAAGTGGATAGTCCGTAGGTTTGGCTTGACCCTGTCCATCACCCCAGCTAATTTTATACTGTTTTGTCACCTTCAGCAGTCACTGCTCTCTCTCTATACATCAGCCCTGTGGGAGCCTGAGCCCACCCCTGCTGTGCGGACAGGCCTGTTTGCGCTAGTTCATGTCAGTGGTGTCATTCAGTATGTAGTCCTTTGTGACTGGCTTCATTTCACTTGACATGTGATTTTTAAGTTTCACCCATGTACTTTATTTCTTTTTATGCCCAACTAATACACAGAATGTGTCTTCTACATTTTATTTATCCATTCATCTGTTGATTGGCATTTGGATTATTTCCTATAAATAATGTTGCTGTGAATAAGATTTTCAATATATATTCTTTTCAAAAAGTATATCATAGTTCATGCAGTATCTCCTATGCCCTTGGAAGATTCCCACTAATACCAGGTGCTACTCATATGCTTAAGCTGCCGTTTTTCCTCTTAATTTTTTTGTATGATTATCTTTCATAATCTAAGAGAAATCACTGCCATAAATCTACTTAAACTAGTATAGTGGACAACTTTAAAAAAAAAAAAACTTTATTTAATATGCATTGGTGTAAGGATACCAGGTCCCCTGGAACTAACTGGAGTTACAGACAGGTGTAAGCTGCCATATGGGTGCTGGGAATACAACCCAGGTCCTTTGGAAGAGCAGCCACTGCTCTTAACCACTGAGCCATCTCTCTAGCCCCTATAGTGAACAACTTTTAATACAGCATATTTTGAAAGCTGTGGTATAACTTTTACATCTATCATATTCTATATGTTAATTTTGCCAACATGCATTTGGATGCTTTTTTAAAAAGAGTATGTGTGTAAGAGAGAGAAAATCTAGCCACCTTGCATGAAATGACGTAAACTGGATACTGCAAGTTAAGTTATTTCTGGGCGGGCTCAGTAGTTAAATGCACATAGTGCTCTGGCAGGGGACCTGAGTTCAGTTCCCAACACTCACCAACCAACCTATAAATCCAGCGCCGGGAGACCTGACACCTCTGATCTCCGTGGGCACCTGCACTCTTGTGCTCATTACACGCAGACACAGAGAAATATATATATTGTTAAAATAATTTTAAAAATAAGGGAAAAGATTAACGATTGCTCTCCTTTATTCTTTAAAAAAATAGTGAGTACCTACAATGTACTGGGTACTAGTTTAGGCGTTGGTACACTGTCGCACTGCAGAAATGTGACTGAAGCCACTGTCTTTGTTGAGCTTTCTTTCTAATAGATGAAACAGGCAGGAAAGGTAGAAGAAAATAATTAGTGCGAGGACAGAAAAACAGCATAGGAATAGTTGCTCATCTTTGTGCTGAGAGGGTGAGATGTGAGCTAGAGTGTGAAGGAAGACATTGTAGGCTTGTGTGAAACCTTGCCGACAGTTAAGGAGCCAGCTATTAGAAAACAGGCGAGGGAAAACTTTGAAGTTCATCGAGCATCTCTGTGATGGGTAATTTGTGTCCTTTGTGTTTTAACAGAGGCGAGTGTTACCAGCTTGAAACAAGCTGCCCTGGTCAAAGCACCTCTCATTCCAACTCTGAATGCAATTGTGCAGTATTTAGACCTAACGCCAAATCAGGAGTACTTGTTTGAAAGAATCAAAGGTAACTTGATTTGAAGAGGAAAAATGAAAGCTCTTTTGCAACATTAGGGTTTTTGTAAATGAAAGATAACAAGGAAAAACATTTTGAAAAAAGTAAAATGTAATTATGGTCTTATATTTTATAAGTATATATTTAAGTATGGGTTAATTAAGGCTTATACTTGAACAACTTTTCAATCATCTATTTAACATACTAAGAACTGTTAAAAGACTATCCTTGAAGATTTTAATTATGTTATTCTATGAAAAAAAACTTAAATATGAGTTAAACAGGCTGGGCTCATTTTCGGCTCCTAACACTACCAAGAACTGGGCGCCACTATGATACTCTTTATAATATTGGTATGCTAATCTGATTCTTGTAATTTTTGTAATTTCTGCTTAATTTGTGGTTTCTGTTATGTGCTTTGGATTGGGGGGGAGATGGGTTCTGACCTCGAATCAGGAAGATAGACCTCAAAGCCCGCCCACCTACTCTCCTCATTATGTCTCTCTACTTAAGAGAGCGATCATAAAGTTAGAGTTGTTTTTCATTTGGACAGACTATAAAATGTTTCTGTGTTAAAGCAAGTTTTAAAAATACTATATCAGTATTACAAACTTTTCATGCATTTTAACTGGAAAATGTTATAGTCCTCTGCTTTAACCAGTGCTTGGATTCCTCTTTAGGAATATGCATTTTTTCATGGGGATGAGGGGAGAGAGAGGGAACTGGGGTTGACATGTAAAACAGGCTTGCTTCTAATTTAAATTTTTTTAAAAAAAGCATTTTTTTCATGACTTTCTAGAAACTTCTCACATGAGGAGAATTTCAGGCATACATGAAACACTAGATGGAACTCGGTGATAGATCACTTAACTGGATTCAACACAGAAAAGAAAAAAAAACACAAAATCACAACCTTGTAAAACATAACCCTCACCCAGTTCAGAGCATCTCTCCCCAGGCCATCCTGCCCTGTATTATTATTATCATTCCCTGGCTGGTTTTGTAGAGCTCCTCTATTGGATGGCCTTTCAGTGTCAGTTTATCTGTGGTTTTGTTTTGTTTTGTTTTTTAATGATCTTACTAATTTTCATGTGCACTGGTGTTTTGCCTGCATGAATGTCTGTATGAAGCCGTCAAATACCCTGGAAGTAGAGTTATAGACAATTGTGAGCAGCCATGTGGGTGCTGGGAATTGAACCCAGGTCCTCTGGAAGAGTAGCTGGTGCTCTTAACCACTGAACCATCTCTCCAACCCCCTATAATGTTTCCCTAGTGTATCTCTAAAATATAAATTTTAAAAAGCATTATACTGTTAGCACATATTAGCTGTCATACCTCACATTTGTAATATTTCCCTTAGTTTATGAAATATCCCATGTATGTTTAAATATCCTACCATCTCATGAAATATATAATCCTGCCAGACAGTGGTGGCACACGCGTTTAATCCCAGCACTGGGGAGGCAGAGGCAGGTGGATCTCTGTGAGTTCTAGGCCAGCCTGGACTACAGAGCAAGTTCCATGACAGTCAAGGCTGTTACACAGAGAAATCCTGTCTTGAAAAACAAAACAAAACAAAACAAAATATATGTATATATAATATGTATTATATCTGTAAATCCTGTTTTAAATATTGTTTGAAGCAGGATTCAAATGCTATTATGTATTATGATAAATTAATCTTTTTTTTAAGTTGTAGTTATCCTGTCCATCCTTTTTTTATCTTTGCAAGGTATTTGTTGAAAGAGATAGATTGTTGCCTTATGTTTTGTGAATGTATACATGTAGCTTATACAGCTTCTCTATACTTCCTATAGGTTCAGATTCAGATATTTTGGTAGTGTTGGCTTTGTTGATAGTATCTGTACATATATAAGTTGAAAATTCATAATATGTGTATGAGGTATCATCAAAATACAAAAAACAAAATGAAATGCAGTGAGTATCTTTGGTTTTTGAGACAGGGTTTCTCTGTATAGCCCTGGATGTTCTGGAACTCAATATGTAGACCAGGCTGGCCTCAAACTCACAGAGATCCACCTGCCTCTGCCTCCCGAGTACTGGGATTAAAGCATGGGCCACATCTCCAGGCTACAGTAAAAGTCTCTGGACACCTACAGTGAACAGAGAGATGTTTTCACCATATTTGGCTCTCCCTCCATGTGTATACATACACACATATTTTTTGAGATTACATTGTAGTTGCCATTATTTTTCAGCATGTTTTTTGCTAAGAACATGACTTTACATACCTACAACACAGTTCTCACATATTAAAATTTCTATGTCAGCAGCCCGAATAAGAGGTACTAACTGTGCAATGATTACTCCATATTTTGGTATTACCTGGTTTGTTGTAGCGAGGCTTAACTTTTGTATCTTAGGTTTCTTTTGGAGGATATTCTGGTAAAATTTTACAACACTGTATTTTCCCTCCTGTAATCTTGTAGTTTTCTCTTTTTGGTTTGTTTTCTCTTTCTTTCCTTTTAAAGTATGTCTTCATTGTTTTCACTTTGACTTTTGTTTCACAGAGCTTTCTCAGGGAGGCTGTATGAGCTCCTTCCGGTGGAACAGAGGTGGAGATTTCAAAGGACGCAGGTGGGACACAGACCTGCCCACCGACTCTGCTGTGCGTTTGTTCATTATTTTTCAGCCTGCTAAATTTGTTACTATATTTACATGGTTTTATTCTCCCTCACAAAATACTAGAAAGGAAAATAACGATTAGAGTACCATCAGCATCTTGCCCAGCCTCTGTGAAGACTGTCTGCTTGATCGGGTGGTGGCCGCTCTTTCAAGTACCTCAACATGGCTGCAGGAACTCTTGTGCAGATTCACCTGTTCTGTTCCCTTTTTTGCTTTTGTGATGGTTAAGCATTTTTATGCAACGTCGTTTAACTCTTCTGTATTGGGCTTAAAAGATGGATAAAGTGGTAATGGAAAAGAATTTGCTTTTCTGTGTTAAATAATGCAGCAAAGAATATTATGACACATTTTTTCTTAAGTGGGAGTATTACTTTAGGAAAAACTGTTACCATCATACCAAATCAAAGAGCTTTAAAGTTATTTTTTCAAAATTGTGCTATTTTTTGTATTAAGTATTTACATGAAAATTAATTTTTGATCTTGATATTCAAATTGAGAATTGAATGTATGCAGATTTTGTTGGTTTTGCTGTCAACTGCATAGTTGCAAATTCTCTATTTCACAGAAAATAAGGAGCCAGGTCAAGTGTAGGCCTGTTATCCCTACTACTTAAAAAGCTGAAGCAGAAGGATTGTAGGTTCAGTTCAAGGCCTGCCTGGGCTACTCCAGAATGAGGTCAAGGCCAACCTGAATAACTTAATGAGGCCTTATATCAAAATTAACAAGGGCTAAATGTATAGATCTATGACAGAACATTTGCGTAATATGTTTGAGACTCTAGGTACAGTCTTGAAATGCACACACACACACACACACACACACACACACACACACATTCATGCATGCACACAAGAGTGAGGGAGGAGGAATGTTCTGCTTTTTTTTTGGATTTCTATAAAAAAAAATGAAGATAAAGTTAAGTTTGGTGTTTAAATTGTCCCACCCCATCCCCCCATGTTCAAACTTTTAATGCTTTTCAATTTTGAAAGGGAAAATTTCCCATTAAAAGATTAACTTGGTATGATGGCAAATATATTTTTCAATTTTGTGAAATTTCTTAGGGGTTGCTAGAGACCAGCCATGGAGTGGATTGTTTGAACTATAAGCTTAGCCTTACTTAGCAACACACTAAATTCTTTTGTGATTTAAGTAAATTTCTTTCCCTTATAAGAAGAAATTTTTAGCTGAGTGGTGGTTGCATATGCCTTTAACCAACCCCAGCACTTGGGAGGCAGAGGCAGGCCAATCTCTGAGTTTGAGACCAGCCTGGTCTACAGGGAAAGTTCATAAGTACAGATGGTTTCAAAGACTTGTATTTGTGCCGTTCTAACTTGGAACAATTGTTTTCTATCTTCAGATCATCATGCATGTGTTTTGCACCTACCTTGATTCCAGGTTACCTCCACACCCTAAGTACCCTGATGGGAAAACATTTACTTCTCAGCACTTCGTTCAGACGCCAAATAAACCAGGTACTAACCCTAAAAGAACATGTTGAGATTGTCACCTGAGATTCCTTTATGGTTGATGTTGTTGGGGTTTTGTTTTATTTTTGTTTGGGGGGGATTTTTTTGTTGTTGTTTAGGGTTTTGGGGTTTTTTTTTTTTTTAAGACAGGGTTTCTCTGTGTAGCCCTAGCTGTCCTAGAACTCACTCTGGAGACCAGGCTGACCTTGAATTCCCGAGATCCACCTGCCTCTGCCTCCCAAGTGCTGGGATTAAAGGCGTGTACCACCACCAACGGGCCATGTTTAGTTTCTTTTTTTTTTTTTTTTTCCAATAAGACATTTATTAACACAACACAAACCAAATCACAAACATCTAGGCCTATCACCCACACATGTTTAGTTTCTTAACATGTCCTATTTTCTTTGCAGATGTTACCAATGAAAATGTGTTTTGTATTTATCAGAGTGCTGTCAACCCTCCACATTATGAGCTAATCTATCAGCGACATGTCTACAATCTGCCAAAGGTATTTCTTTCTTTTCAGTTCTGGGGTTTGAACTCAGGACCTCATGTATGCTGGGCAGGTGTTCTGCCACTGAACTGTATCCCTAGCCCTAAAGAACTTGCTGCTAGGGAATGTCATGATGGCATTTTGGTAACATTTAAAAATGGAATCTTTTTGTTTATTTTTGAGGCGGGGTCTCACTTTGCAACCCTGGCTGGCCTCGGTTTTTCAGTAATCCTACACCAGCTTCTCAAGGGCTGGGATTACCTGTGTGAGACAGCACACAGTTTTGTGTTCTGTGTACTGTAAATGCAATAGTGTTTCATTTGGGAATGTAAAGAAAACCACGCATTGAAAAGCCACCACTGTTAACATTTTGTCAGGTTACCTTCGAACACTTACCTGGGGCTTTCTGTTTTGTGTCTTATTTTGTGTGAGGCAGTGTCTCACTGTGCTGCTCTGGCTGTCCTGGAACTCCTTATGTAGACCCAGCTGGCCTCAGATTCACAGAGGTCCTCTCGCTTCTGCCTCCTGAGTGCTAAGATTAACGATGTGCACCATCTTTCCAGCTCTTTCTGGTTTTGCTTTTTGATTTTGGTTTTGGTTGGTTGGGTTTTTTTTTGTTGTGGTGGATGGTTTTTGTTTGTTTGGTTTGATTTTTTGGTTTTTGGTTTTTTTTTTTTTTTGTTTTTTTTTTTTTTTTTTTCAGGACAGTTTTTCTCTGTGTAACAGTCCTGTCTGTCCTGGAACTGGCTTTGCAGACCAGGCTGGCCTCAGACCTTTGTAATTTTTTTTTTTAAATCAGCATCTTTACTGAGGAATTTTACAATAGTAATTGCTTTTTGTTGACTTCTAGTTGGGTCACGACATCTAGTCCAGGCTGGCTTCCAGTGTTCAGTCCTGCCTGCCTCAGTTTCCCAATTTCTAGGATTTCAAGTGGGTACCTCCATATACAGCTGTTGACTATAATTACCTCCATCAGATTCAGCAGACACAGTCATTTCACTTCTTTCTGATTTAATTAACTTTACTTTTGTAAGGTGAGTATTTTGAGACGTTGAGGTTCCTGTCACTACTCATGCCAATCCCTTGTTTTTGTATGAAAGAAAAACACTATCTTGTAAAATTCATTTAGCCTCAGATTCCTAAGCCAAACAACCAAAGTCAAGTAAAATTTGATCTATCAGTAGAGGGATTTTGTAGCCCAGCACTTACATACAATAGTTGGATTTCAGAGCCGGTAAAACATTGCCTAGCTGTCCTTACCGATAAAATCGTTCAACGTGTTCTTTATACACTAAGGGCAAACTATAGTGTATATGAAGTATAACCAGAAGCTGTGTGACTCCTTGCACTCTTGTGGGGGATAGAGCATGTTGTTTGGTGTATGGACCCATCAATGTCAGAAAAGCTCTCCCTTGCCCACTTGCCCACTTTGGTTCTGCCCGTGTGAGACCCCACCCAAGCTGCCAGCTTTCTGTTCATATTTCAGGTCTGCTTAACGTTCTTGCATTTAGGAAGCCATTTCTTGCCTCTGCAGTCTAGGTTAGAGCCTTCTCTGTGTTCCTCTGGCATCCTGCTACCCCATCACACTCCATATTCAGTTGTCATTCTGCCTTTACTGCTCCAGAGTCAGTTCTATGTTCCATGGATCTTGTCTGACTCGACACAGTAGGAGCTATGAATAAAACTCTGAATTATGAAAAATTAGTCTGCATTTGCTACATGACTGAATCTTTTTAGTTTAAATCATTATTTTTGTCTTGATTCTAGGGCAGAAATAACATGTTTCATACATTGCTGATGTTCCTTTACATCATAAAGACCAAAGAGTCAGGAATGCTTGGGTAGGTATTTATGATTTTAAAGTTAAGTACTTAATTTTGCTCCAGTTTTTCTTTCTATGTTAAAAGATTCTGCAGGAGGCAACACATATACAAAAAGATTTGTGGACAGAATTCCAGAGCAGTGTCTAGTTCATTAAGGCTTCAGAACGTCCATTTCCCTGTTGCTAAAGTCAGTTGGATGCTATCCAGAGTTGTGTCCCCTAGGGAACATCTCTGAAATAGGGTAAAAATCAGACTCTTGCCACTTGAAAATATAAAGCAGAAACTTGGAGTCTGCTTTCCAAACCATTCCATTTTAGACACAAAGCATTCCACAAAGTCTGTATACTTCCAAAGGGCCTAGTCTGTACCCGTTCCAAAATATTGCTAATTGGAATGAAAAATAATCTGTTGAAATTGTTTATGAATTCAGTAATGAAGCTCACATTATTTACAAATTCAAAATTACTGTATTGTCATGTGGATGATTCAGTGCTCAGTATTTCAAATACTGTTTGAAATAAGTGGACCACTGCCGAGGCTAGGGAAATCTGGGAATGTTTGATTTGGGAGTCTGAAAACTTAGCTTCTGGGATCCAGCTGTCATAACAAGGACCTAAAACTAATGAAATGTCGAGGGAAGTGCTTGGTTCAGAGGACATCTGTGGCTGGTTCCACTCTAGTGGGCACGCCTCTGTGAGAGGGCACATGTGCCACTGAGTACTTAGAGAATGGCCTGTCGGAACTGAGACACCTAAGGGGCAAATGAGTATCAGATTGCTTGCACGAATGTACTGCTGGCATACTGAGTACTGCTTTGGATATGGCTGTGTGGGTGTCAGCTGGAAAGGTGAAGGCAGTGTGTGCACACGGCACCAGGCTGTACGACTTGTGGAATGCACCACCTTAGTGAAAACAAAGCTCTGGCCCAGATGTATTTATTTCATGTAAAGATTAAAGCAGATGTGAGCAGAAACTCATAAACAGATAGAAACATTTATCACCTTCTGTTTTTTTTTTTTTTTTTTTTTTTTTAACATTTATGTTTGTTAGTTTGGTGGGGAGGAGAGCACAGACTCCAAGGAACAAGAGTGGAGGTCAGAGGACAGCTTGCAGGAGGCAGTTCACTCTTAGCACATAGGTACCAGGGATCAAATTCTGGTCATCAGGCTGGGCAGCAGGTACCGCTACTCACTGAGCCATCCCACCAACCCTTTGTTCACTTCTTGCATCATATTTTTAATATAAGAAAGATTAAATAAGAAAATCATTGTGTAAAGCATCTAAGAAGGTTTTTCATTATTTTTCAATTGCAAAAATGATTCATGCTCAATGTGGAAATAACAGTGCACACCAGAAAATGAGAATACCTTTCTGCTCAGCCTCTGTATTCATCTCCAGCAAGGTGCCGACCCTGTCAGGTTTTCAGTACCCAGACTACCTGGAGGGATGAGTTGGTGTCTTTTACCCTGTTTAAAAATGAATTACACCCAAATGTACGCTGTTTGAGCTGACTTTTAATTTTATGATGTGTCTTAGGCATTTGTCATTATCAGTAAGTACATTTTTTTTCTAAAATTTCCAGTAAGGTTTCATTATAAACATGTATGTGCATATATAGAATGAAATATGAAATTGTATTGTTAATATACAAAATCATTGTTGAAACTGGAGATGTTAAGAGCCCTGAATGCCCTGCATTAAATTCCCAGCACCTCTATGGTGGTTTACAAGTGTCTTAACTCCAGTTCCAGTGGATCTGACACCATGTTCTGCCTTCCACAGGTAGTAGGCATGCACACAGTACACATACATACATACATACGTACATACGTACGTACGTACGTACATACATACAATCAAACAAGTACAACACACACAGAGAAAAAATTAGAATTTAAGTACAAAAAACATTGATTTTACTTAGTGTTTCTGAAAGGCTAGGGTTTTGTTTGTTTGTTTGAGACAGGTTTTCTCTGTGGAGCCCTGGCTGTCATGGCCTTGAACTCAGAGATCCACCTGCCTCTGCCTCCAGAATACGGGGGAATTAAAGATGTACCCTACCATGCCTGGCCACTGAATGGCTGCTTTCGTGTGATGAATTAGGTTGAGAATGCTTTAAATGCATGGTGAGCTTTTAGCTTGGGAGGACGTAGGTTGTTGGGTCAGTTTTAGCAATGCTGCCGAGCAGTGAGTCCAGGGCTTCATTCATGCTGAGTAGTCTACCGACCTGTATCCCCAGCATGGACCAAAAAAAAACCCGGGCCCAAAAAACAAAAAAAAAAAAAAAAAAAAAAAAAGATAAGAAACCTTTATTGAGCAGTAATTTAAGGCCAAAGAGAATTTATATAATTCATGCTTTTCTCCTCTTTTTATCTGTGAGTTTTTGTGTGTTCTGGGCATTGAACCCAGGCTAGGCAATTTCTCTACCACTCAAGTACACCCTAAATTTTTATGTTTTTATTTTATTTTTTTTTAAAGATTTTATTATTTATTATGTATACAACAGTCTGCTTCCATGTATATCTGCACACCAGTAGAGGGCACCAGATCTCATAAGGGATGGTTGTGAGCCACCATGTGGTTGCTGGGAACTGAACTCAGGACCTCTGGAAGAGCAGTCAGTGCTCTTTACCTCTGAGCCACCTCTCTAGCCCCTTTTTTTTACTTCATGTTTGTTTGCATGTATATATATGTGTGGTATATGTGCATGTGTGTGTATGTGTTCACATATGTGTGTAGAGACCGGAAATTGAGGTTGTACACTTGCCTCCATCATTCTCTCCAGTGTATTAGGGTTTCCACTTGAAACTAGAGCTCAGCAATTTGGCTGGGCTAGCTAACCAGCTTTCCCATGGTTTCCCCTGTCCACACTGGGGTACAGGAAGGCTGCCATGTCCAACTGGCTTTTACAGGAACGCTGAGAATCTTCGCAATTACAGAAAGGGCATTACCCACTGAGCCATTTCTTCATCCTCCCTTGTATTGTTTTTTGTTTTTTGGGTTTTTTTTTTTTTAACCAAAGAAGAAGAAAAAAAATTTAAAGTATCAATCTTTTTCAATTGGCTTATAAATTAAAAGCACTTGCTGCTTTTCCAGAGGACCCAAGTTCAATTCCCAGCATGCAAACCAGGCAGCTCACAGTGCTTCAGGAGATCCAATACCCTATTCTGGCCTCCCCAAGGGCCAGCAAACATGGTGTACATATACACAAAAATAAAACAATAAATCTTTTAAAATGCTTTTTGAAAAATAGCAGTTAAGGTCAGGTTTGGTGATATATACCTATAATTCCAGCATTGGAGACTGAAGCAGAAGGATTGTGGTTTTTGTTGTTGTTTTTGGAGACAGGGTTTCTCTGTGTAGCCCTGGTTGTCCTAGAACTCACTCTGTACAGAGATCACCTGCCTCTGCCTCCTGAGTGCTGGGATTAAAGGTGTGCGCCACAACCTCCCAGCTAAGGATTGTGGATTTAAGCTATTAGAGAGAGTTCCAGGGCAACAGGCTATGCAGTTAAGACCCAGTCTTTTGAAAAACAAAAAACAAAAACTACCATCTTACAATTTAAGAGTATGAATGACTTAAATAAAACTTGGGGCAAAACGTTGATGACTGAAATGAACAGTTACTATTTCCCAAAGACAACCACTTAAACTTTTTGACTTTATGTTTTGAAATCACACCTCATAGTTCTGACTAACAGAAGTATTACAGTCCTCCAGCACTTCAGCTGAGGCGCAGCAGGTTTTCAGCTTGGGTGGCTTGGGTTTTGCAGCCATCTTCTTCCCTTATACTCTTACAGTTACACTATTCTGGAATATAATTGTCTTTCTATCGTACACAGTATGACATAGGTTAAGATGTATAATTTATGCACATATACAAACTTACAGAATGGTCGCCATAGGCCCATATATTTGAATATTTGGTTGCCTGTTGGTAGAACTGTTTGGCAGGAATTGGCAATGTGTCACTTGGAGCTGGCTTTGAGGCTGCTTGCCTGCAGCCATGCTCCCTGCCATGATGATTATGGACTCTTAATCCTCTGAAATGCTCTCTGCCTTGGTCATAGTATCTTTTTATTGTTGTTATTATTTTGAGACAGGGTTTCTCAGTGTAACAGTCCTGGCTGTTCTGGAACTCCCTTTGTAGAGCAGGCTGGCCTTGATCTGATAGAAGTCCGCCTTCCTCTGCCTCCCTGAGCTTAAAAGACATGTGCCATCATGGCCAGCATTTGTCAGAGATCCCTACTAATCATAAATTCCTAATTTGGCCAAGGCCTAGCATCTCTATATCCTCTATTTTAAAAAATTAATTGACACTGTAATCTAATTAAAATATTTTGTTAGCTTTCTCATTTGATGTAGTTCTTTAAGTCTACTGAAAAATTAGCCAGGCCTGGTGACACACATCTTTAATCCCAGCACTTGGGAGGCAAAGGCAGGAGGATCTTTGAGTTCGAGGCCAACCTGGTCTACATAGAGAGACCCTGTCTCAAAAAAAAGTTACTGAAAAATTAATTTTTAGCACCCCATAAACCTACTTTTTCTAAACATAGCTTTTAAATACAGTTAGTAGAGTCGTCACCATTCTTGAACTCACCTGCTAAGCTGTGTGACAGGCTACACCGCTGAATCACTTCAGCTGTCACCAGTTAAACAGATACTTATTTTATCTGATTGTCGGTTTTATTAGAACCAGGCCTTAGATACTTGGGCAAGCAATTCTATTAAAACTGTTTTTTCTTTCTTTGTAGGAGAGTTAATCTTGGGCTCTCTGGTGTGAATATTTTATGGATTTTTGGAGAGTAGTCCATTATTTACTCCCAAACATTTGGACTTTGGTTTTAATTGACCTGGAAGAAGTTGAAGCTGAGCATCTCCCAGTAAGCGCCTCTTCTGAAATAGGATGTGTGTTTTGCAGACTTGTTAGATGTAACAAGAACAACTATTAGGAAGCTTCTTATGACGTAACAACTCCTGTGTCTTCTACCGCACGGAACAGTAGTTCCATTGGATGACTCTAAAACTACAGCCCTGGGATATAAACTAGTACAGTCCCCTCCCTCGGGGAAAGCAAACACGCCTCTCCATTGTAACCCCGTGAGAATCAACACTTCATCCTTCACCATCACAAACTGTATTTCGTTGTTGTGTAGTAGTGTAAATGCTCAAAATGAACCTTGCTAGTTTTCTTTGTTGTATCTCTATATTTCCCCACTGTTCTGCAAGTCAGCCTAAAGCTGATATGAAATTAATTTCAAAGTGATGTAGTAATTAATCCTGCTGAGCCATCTCCCCAGCCCCCTATTGGTTTTTTTTTATATTAAAAGAGATTTGATAATATTGGCATCTTGAAAGGTCACACTTGCATTAAATTTAGTTGATAAAATTAAAACTTTTGGGTTTAGTTAAATGTCTAAGGACATCAAGAAAACTGTTAATACTTTGATTAGCACCTCTTTCTTGCCCACTGGGGAAAAGGGGCATATGTGTATTTGTGTCTGTCTGTGTGTGTATCTGTGTGTCTGTGTGCTGGGGCCTGAACCTGGGTGTCATCCCTTCTTTAAGACTGAAATAGCCGGCGGTGGTGGTGCATACCTTTAATCCCAGCACTCGGGAGGCAGAGGCAGGCAGATCTATGTGAGTTCGAGACCAGCCTGGTCTACAAGAGCTAGTTCCAGGACAGCCTCCAAAGCCACAGAGAAACCCTATCTGGAAAAACTAAAAAAAAAAAAAAAAGATTGCTTCTATCATCTGTGTTTAAATGGGTGATGTGTGCATCCCATTTTTATGATTTGAGGTTTTTTTTAAGGTCAGAGGGTGAACTCTGAGCTTAAAAGGAAGGAGCTGTCACCTAGCCATTCTTGATAAGTGTTAACGTTCCATAAAAGAAAATATCACATAACTCAATAAACATAAGGACATGTTACAATTTAAATCTGTGATTTTGAGAGATATTGAAGGCACTCTGGAATCAGTTGCTGAGCTATAAAGGGTACAACTGCACAGACTATACCAGAGAATTAACAGTGTATAAAACACCACCAACATGCCGGGCATTGGTAGGGCATGCCTTTAATCCCAGCACTCGGGAGGCAGAGGCAGATGGATCTCTGTGAGTTCGAGGCCAGCCTGTCTCCAGAGCGAGTGCCAGGATAGGCCCCAAAGCTTCACAGAGAAACACTGTCTCAAAAAAACAAAAGCAAAAAAAAAAAAAAAACCAACACCACCAAGCTTGTATTTTTTTGTAACCATCAAAAACTACAATATAGTAAATATATGTAAAAACACTTGACAATGTAAAAAGAAAAATTGTTTTATCTGCATACATAGTGTGGGTTGATGTAGAGTTCTTAGAGCAACTTCTTCACAAGTGTTTGATCGAGCTATACTTAACATTACCTTTTATTTACACACAGTTGGTAAAGACATGGTAAGGCCAGGTGGTGGTGGCACACACCTTTAATCCCGACATTCAAGAGGCAGGGACAGGTGGATCTCTGTGAGTTTGAGGCCAGGACAGCCTCCAAAACTACAGAGAAACTGTCTCAGAGAGAGAGAGAGAGAGAGAGAGAGGACAGACAGACAGACAGACATGGTGGAATAGGCTGCTCATGAGGCTGAAGAGGGAGGATTATTAGTTCAAGACCAAACGAGGCTACGTAGTAATAATCTTGTATAAAGGTAAAACAATAATAAAATAATAATGATAATAAGCTGCACTGATGAAATAGTTTGAATTTAGTATTCAGAAAACGTTCTGCAAATATAGCATTTTGTGTTCTGTTTTGGTTTTTTGTTTTCATTACTAGGAAGTGAACCCAGGGAATCTAACATTGTACCACTGAGCTCCATCCCCAGCCTCTAATGTAGCAGTTTCTAGGATTAAAGTGAGTCATTGTCTACCAATACCGAAAATCAAACGTTACCCCTAGGGTATGTGTCACATGTGCCTTTTCATTGCCTGACTGCAATCCATGACTCTAGATGAGGGTCACTGTGATATTTATCTTTTCCTTTATCAATACCAGCCTTACTTAGACCAAATCTGTTGTGGAGCATACTAAAGGTGTTCATAACCTGGTTTCCACTGAGACAAAGGTGCCACATTACTTGGTTTTCTCAAACTAATATATTCCTCAAGCTGATACTTGAGTGGCAAAGCAGTGTCAGCAGAGTGGCCCTTTCTCCCCTGGGCTTCGCAGAGCTCCTCACGTTGACTGCTCCCTGGGGCGGGCGGGCGGCCTTTGGTCCTCTCTTCCCTGTATTCTCCTTGCTGAGCACATTCATCCTACAGATTGACTTGCCATTTCTCTGCCTGATTCCCAAATTCATTAACATGTACTAATCTCTACTGAGCTCCATTATTACACACGCAGGAGCCTGTCAGGCATCTGCAGTTGGGTGTCCTGTGGGCTCTCGGCATCTGGAACTCCATTCATACCTACTAAAACCAGTGAGGTCTTCCTTTGACCATTGTCCTGCCAGTTGCCCGTGCTTACGATTCCGGTGTCAACTTTGATTCCTTGAGCTCCCTGGGTCCCCAGTGCAATCAGGCAGCAGACCTTACCCATTCTTTCTTAGCAGTGTGTCCTCGCAGCTGTTCCTTTGCATTTCTGCCACCGTCCTTTCATTTTTCAGCCTTATTAACTCGCACAGGGCGCTCTAACGGCCTAATTAATCTCAGAGCTTTCTAATTGTTGCTCCACGTCCAGATTTTCCAATTCATCCTGCACATTCTCTTCAAACTTATCTTCCTGAAACACCTGTTGATAAATTCCTTAGCCTGACATTTAAAGCCTCCTGCAATCTGGCCCAAGCTGCTCCCACATCTTTGATTGTAGCCCGAGTAGGCCGCTTCCTGCTTCCTTCTGTGTTCTGTTTGCTGTCCCTGCTCACCCTCTATACTCTTTGGGAATGCTCCTGTTACATCGTCCCCCTCCATGAGACTCACTCTGATCCTGACCATGCCAGCTAGCCAGCGTTTTCGTCCAGAAAATGAGACCTGTGTCCTTTGGCAATCAGCATTCCTACCAACAGATCTGGAAATGGCTGAGGGGCTTATCTTCACACATGGACTGCAAGCGACTAGTTTTGAGCTGGGGATTCTGCTGTTCAGGGGTACCTGCTTATGACTGGAGGTACCCTCAGGAAAGGTGGGCCAGTCAGGCACACTTGCTTTCCTAGTGCAGAAGCATTCCCAGGCCTGCATCTGCTACACAGCACTGCCGAGAAAGTAAGTCATTTAGTACCCCAGGACCAATTCCATGTGCTATGTAGGTCTTCCTCAGCAACCTGGGGTATACCCACAGCAAAACTTTGTTCCCCATAAGACCAGAGCAGTGAGGACCCAGAAGAGGCTGGCTGGCCTACTCTGAACTATGTCAAAGTCTGAGTGTTAGCAGGCTTTGGAAGGAAGGCTTCTGGGAAAGATGTCTTGTTTGGCCATCTAGGGTGGGAAGGCACAACCAGGGCCCCAGTGACACTGCCATCAGTCACTGAGTAGCTTCCCACCAAGTCTGTAAGATGGTTACATATCAGGCCTGAGCTACATCTCAGTAGATAACAGTAATTCCATTTTTTTCTGAGTGAGTGAGGGTTTATTGATGGGTCCCATGGAGTCAGAAAGAAGAGGCCCATGCAAGATGGGAATGGCCCAAGTGCACCACACAAGGATAGCATTCACCCCAAAGATATTTCCTCACAGCCCACATGGTACCCTTTAATTCCAGTGATATGGAGGCAGGTTGAAACCAGCTTGTTCTACATAGAAAGACCCTGTCTCAATAAATAAATAAATAAGTTAAATCCTGCCTCCAAAACCAAGATGAATATTCCAGAATCTGGCTTAAAAGAACCACTTGCCAGAATGGACTAATACCGTTGGAGCAAAGCATGATTTTTGTTTGTTTATTCTTTTTCTAATAGGGTTTCTCTGTAGCCCTGTCTATCCTGGAACTCAGAGATCTGCCTGCCTCTGCCTCCCAAGTCAAGGCAAGCGCCACCACCACCTTGGGCTGACTTTTTTTTAAGCACAGTGTCACAGTGTAGTAGTCCATGTTTACTATAAACTCCTGAAACCCTCCCGCCCCAGCCTCTGTAGTGCTAGGATTACAGACAGGTTGGGTTACCGAACCTGGCTTCACGGGGATTTATGACTGTAAGGTAACAGGAAGACTAAAAGTGAGGATGCTGGCAGTGCTCAAAGTACCAAAGTCAACTTAACACCAGCTCTTTTGGCATTGGAAAACAAGTCTTGTTTTGGAACCCCTGGGATGTACATCTCAAATGGCCGTGGCAGTTCTCATTCCACCTCAACTGCACTCCTCCCTCGCCCTGCCCTGGCTGTCCAGGCCAAGCTTTCCATCGTACCAAGGAAACAGCCCCTTTGCTTCCCTCCTTCCACTTCTAAACTAGAAGAAAAAATTACAGCCCTGAATCAGACGGCTTTCATAAGCTGTGTCCCACGGGGGAAGGTGCCAGGCAGCTCTGATGGTTTTGGCCGAGTATAGGAACTAATTTACCGAACTCCAGCTGCAAAGAACGGCCCCTTGTGTGTCTTACAGGAAGGGTATCACCCAGACCATCCCGTGACTGGTCACGTCCTGCTAACTAGGGAGAGAGGCTGTGGGCCCCAAGCCTGGTGGTTTGAGAAGGGGTTGCATGGCTTCCCTCATGAGCTGACCATCCTTTACGATGAGCTCAACACAACGGTCAGCATTCTGCACGACTTCTTTTGTTGTTGTTTTTGTTGTTGTTGTTGTTGTTGTTGTCTGCACGACTTCTTTAATGAACATGTTTTTGGATGCTGTCTTAGGAATTCCTGGAGTGAAGGACCTTAAGTGGTTAGATCTATCCAGGCCAAGTGGCTTGGATCAAACTCAGAGGAAAAGCTACCTCCTGACATGGCCCTTTAATGGACACTGACACTAGACTTGTCTGTGTAACCAGAATAGCACTCACTCACTCACTCACTTGGACTGCTTGCTGTATCTGAGGACATTGCTGCTTTGAGTTCATTACATCTGTCGTGCCCCCACCCACCACCCACTGCCAGGACTTTTTCAAGTCAGTGAGGGATGGTGAAGGCGGCTCAGTGGGTAATGGCGCTTGCCACCAAGGCTGACAAACTGATATCAATCCCCAGGCCCGACATGGTGGAAGGAGAAAGCTGACTCCTGCAGGTTGTCCTCCGACCTCCATCCACATGTCTGTGCACCACGGTCTGTGTACCCACACACGGACACACGGACAAGTGTCACCTTTAAAACTTGTCAGTGTCAGACTCTGCAGGTGTCTCTTTCATGACCCTCTTGGTGGACACTCCTGAACAAATGGAGGAAAACAAGTCTCCCGT